ATTAAAAGAATTCCAGTTTTTTAAACAAAAATTTTATTTAAATCTACAATAATTTTAATCCACATGTTTTTCACCATCGCCCACTGGGAGGTAGCTTGGCTTTTACTCCGGTGTCTTGAATGTGTCGTGGTACACCGCACCTCCGCAGTGCAGATCCTCGTCTTGTCTTCTGGACGGTATTCTGGGGCTATGCCCGGCGATGGCTGATCATGAGGAATGGTCGAATTCTTAGGTCTGTATACAAAAGCTCTTGAAATTTTGTGTACTATGTGCCAAATTCTTGAAGTTCACAATAATTTTAATCCTCATGTTTTTCACCATCGCCCACTGGGAGGTAGCTTGGCTTTTACTCCGGTGTCTTGAATGTGTCGTGGTACACCGCACCTCCGCAGTGCAGATCCTCGTCTTGTCTTCTGGACGGTATTCTGGGGCTATGCCCGGCGATGGCTGATCATGAGGAATGGTCGAATTCTTAGGTCTGTATACAAAAGCTCTTGAAATGTTGAGTACTTAGTGCCAAATTCTTGAAGTTCACAATAATTTTAATCCTCATGTTTTTCACCATCGCCCACTGGGAGGTAGCTTGGCTTTTACTCCGGTGTCTTGAATGTGTCGTGGTACACCGCACCTCCGCAGTGCAGATCCTCGTCTTGTCTTCTGGACGGTATTCTGGGGCTATGCCCGGCGATGGCTGATCATGTGGAGTAGCTAATAATTATAAACTCGTTTATTGTCGTAGTTCACTGGAATTTTGTTGTAATTTGGAGCAAATGCTAGTCATCACTTTCTTGGTGTGTCTCCACACTACTAGCTTCGTCTTCTTGCTGGCGCTCCTGGGTTTTCATTTTTTCTACATACCGGTGGCGTATAACAGTAATCATCACCGCGTCCCCTACGACTCCTAGGTAGGAGTATGCACTGAGTTTTAGAAGAAGCGGTAATTTATATCTATACATGTTTCCTAATAGTTTGAATGTTTGATTAAAAAGTATGTTGTTTCCTAGGCAATTTTAACCCATTTCAGTATTCACAATTTATTTTATCTCCAACGTTACCAATTCTACGAATGGTGTCTTGTATTATATTTTTGACAGAGATTTAGTTTTCTCTACTACTTTTGAAAATTAACTTTAAACATACTTTGATGGTTATAAAGAATTACGATTATTATGTGTAAATCATACGCGTTTTCTTTGTGTTGGTTTATTTAAATTATTATTTTATTTTGTTAGCACTGTTTTTTATATATGGTCTTTGCAAATAAAATTTGTTTACGTTAAAACAACCAACATTTTACAACCATTTGAACCTTTAGCATACAGCGTTTTCTGAAAAAAGTAAAACAGTCAACGTTTAGTGTCCAGGTTTATGAGCCATACCAACTGTCCAACTGGTACTGGGATGATTATGATAAGGTATATACATTGATTTTGGTTTCTCTTGTCAGCCATTTGGACTAATCGTTTTTCTAACGGCCAATATTTACAGTACTTTACAGCGTTAAGCTTCCATTTTCAACTGTACTTTTAGTATACCGAAACCGACAGACAGTCATTTAAACATAAAGAAGCCATCAACATGTAAACCACTAATAACGATACTTTGCCGACAAAACATGTGCCTAACACGAGTTAAAGTCTTTCATAGCATAAGCTTAATTCTTTTTTAGCAGTTATCATCACTTAGCCATTTGATAAAGGCGCCAAAACCTCTTTACCAACCAGTCGCAGTTGATTCAATAGTTTACTCTGGGACTTCTTGCACTTGTTTGATTATACCTTAAACGGTTTATACCGGATATCTTACGGATACCGGATGCTGTTAAATCGCGTCCTGCCAATGCGGTTACAGGCTGGGAATGTATATCGTGAAAGTGACAGACCGGCGAGGTGACAGCAGTCGTCAACTCGTCAACCAGCGACCGGACGCCGGATTTGGAGGGAACTCTCTTGCTTTGAGAGGGAAAGTTGAAGACAAATAAACGCCACGCAATGACACCTCCACGTGTCATTAGGTTAGGAATAAAATGAGGCGAAGATGTTGTTGAGCTTTCAGGCGTTTTTACCGAATTTCGTAAAGAGAATGGTTTAATTAATTTTTAATGAGGTAGGTGGATGGAGTAGGTACATTCTACAACAAATTTTGTTTTTGTTTCATGAGAGAGATGTACTTTGAAGAAATCACATAGGTGCATTTGAAAATTTAAACATTTTTTCAGTTTAATTGCAATGTTAGAATTTATCAATACATAGGGCTATCATAAGCGTAGCTTATATTTCTGGTGAGGAAAACTGGGTAATTTATTGTTACAAAGTTCCTCCAGGGTGGCAATTTTCGTGAAATGAAACACTATGCTTGTTTTGATAAGCGTTAACACGGTTTTTGAAAAAGTAGTTTAAATTTTTTTCTGTGATTCATAGTAAAACATTTTTTGTTATTTTATCAAAAGGTGTTAACAGCGAAGTAAAATTCATGTTTATCCGCCTACATAAGTACTTCTGTCGACAAAATTCACAAATAGAGACTACAGTACATGTTTTAGCGAAAATCGTAAAACTAATATTAAGATAATAGTAGTGTAATTCTTCAATGCCACGCTCTACAATAAAGTTAGGTTAAAATGTAATGCTTCACTGTATATATAAAATAATGTATCTCATAGTGATCGCTTCTTTGTCCACGACATCGTCAAAACCACCCGTTCAAGTTTCCAATAATACCACCGTAGACGTAACATAACACGAGCTGTTTTGATCGTTACCGACATTTTAATTGAGGAGAATATCTCCTTAAAAATACATTAAAATAGCCTAGTTGAATCTTTTTGGATAAGAAACAACTTATATCATCTCTCTGGAAATAAATTAAAGCCCTAAATTTCAAAACTTATATTATTACAATATACAATTAAAGTATTATACATTATTACACACAAAAAGTAACTTTATTTTTTAATCAAAGTCGACAGTATTTAAAACAAATATTCAGTTTGAAAGTACATTTTCCCAGTAAGCTTTCAGTCAATAATCAATAATCCTATACTAGTTACAGGATTAATATATGATTTGTCAACATTGTTTTATGTAGGCAGGTAAGCAGGTAGTAACATCCTGTTCCTTATCTCTCAGATTCTGGTTTAACTCTCAGGTTTATTTATAGGATTCCTCTTTGTAAAACCACTTTACTCTATGCATTAATCACCTTGTTTTTTTATTCGGATGGAGTGATATTTAACTGAATATTTTTTTCTAGTTTTGAGATTTTTAAACTTTTACATGATGTCATCATAGTTTCTTTACTCTGTAACTATGTTGTGGTATTTCTATTAACTATACTGTATAAGGATTTGGAAAATTATATAATTTTGATAAAAAAATGTCAGTTTGGTGACAATTATGAAAGACTATTTTCTGTCAGATTTAAACACTCTCGGTTAACAACTCATGCGAGAAACATTTAAACATTAAGGTATGAACCGAATACTGTACAGTATTAGGGGTTTACCTATTACAATACAAATCGAGTACAAGGATACCATATTAACGCAGTACTATTGAACAACCCCTTCCTATATGAACCCGTTTACAGCGTGGGTGTAGCATGCTGTTCTCCGTGTATATTCATCAATCTTATGAATTAACTGAAGACAGTTTAATGGTTTGTTATCATCCCTTAAAACTTACATATTGACGTCTTCTATTCCTCAAAGGACTGCCAAGTGTAACAAACAAAATAATAGGCTACGTAAATATAAATGAAACTTATTAAGTGAGTTATAAGTGTATATGGTAGATCTACGTGTAGATATGTAGATGTAGATGTACAGTATTAGTATTTCTTGGTGTTTAAGAGTTCAGTAATATAACTTCGAAGTCAGTACGACCACATACGACCACTGTATGTCCTTTGATCCTGTACCCAAATAATATTTTCATGTATAATTCGACTGGTTTGGTAGCTGAGTGGTCAGAATGCTTTTCTGGCAATCAAAAGGTCACCGGTGCGATCTTGAGAAAATTCAAGATTTTGGTTCGAAACCGGACCCAGCTGTTCCTGAAAATTCGCCTTTAAAATGATCCTGACTGATAAACCAGCTGATACTATCAGTGACATAGCTACACAGATCATCTCACTCCATTCTACACTCATTCCTCACTCTCATTTGGGTGAAAATACACACTTTTATGTGGTGACTCATCTCAAATAATTGATAATTGATAGTTGGTTCATCATTCAGTCGAACATAAAATGGACCCCTTTGGTTGATAATGATGAATAAAAAAGAGAAAACAATACATTTTACTTTTTACAAGTACAGTATTTCAAATGCCATTAACAAATACATTACAATTGTATTAATCCCTAATTCGATGCAAATCTTTGATGTCCATCGAGGATTCACGGTGTTTTCCACCGGTTGATGGTTTTTGTTCCGCAAACGTGTCAAGTGTTTCTATTCGTTTTCCTTATTCTCTAAACATTTATGTTTTCTCCTTTGTTTCCCATAGATAGCCAGTGTGCGTAATGAATGATCTATTCTATGTTTCTTGCAACATCAAATTGGGGTCATATTTTAGATCCCAAAACAACATGACATGCTTTACTAATTAGAGCTATAAATAGTCCGTAATACTTCGTCAACGTATTAATACTGTATATTTTGGACGTGGGTGAATGGTTTCAGTGCTGGTCTACTCAATAAAAGATTTCTGGTACTAACCTCAGTAAATTGTTTTTTTATGTTTCAACATTGGGCTCTGGCTAAAACCAGCTAATCTCAACGAGTAAAATTAACACAGACAAAATACGCACAAAAGGTACTTCACTGTCTAAGAGAAGCTATTAAGTGACTATTAATAACTAGGGGGACTACCCCTAGGGAGTAAATGAGCCACTTTATACCCGCAACGCATACATTAAAACAGCTGTTTTAAGTATTTTAATCAATTATATTAGATACAAAATAATATAGTAATCAGCTGTTAATACCCTGGTTGCAGGAGGGTCCAGGAGAGTGGGTGTCACTGGACGCCGAGCTTGTGATGATGGAGGGCGAGGTAGTGGGTACCAAGAACCCCACGGGCCATTCCCTCCTGGTAGACTGCAGGTTCGAACTACCCTTCGGTGAGTACCCTCCCTGGCAGCTGCATGGCATGGAACTGTAAGGGGTTGGTAGAACACCAGCTTCGTAAAGTTTGTACATTTTAGAGTAATGTAGGTATTTATGATTACGGTATTTTTTATAACTACAATTTCCTATACAAGGTGTATATAAAGTCCCGCACGGGCTTAATATTTTCTAAACGACAACAGATAAATCAATAAAATTTGATACATCAACACCACACAAAAAAATCTACCTTTTCAAGGAACGATGAATATTCTTTCATATCATGGGGACGTCCCACAAGGAGCCGGAAGAAAATCTTAAATGGAAGCATCGGTCAATATGCACATCAAGTGAAAGGTCTTTTTTAGTAGAATACAATGCCGCAAATCACACTTCAAAAGGTTGGTCCTGCGCAAAATGACAGTTTTTCAAAGATTTCTTGAATCTGCCATTTTGAATCTTTGAACGACTGCCATTTTTTACTCAGGCGTTCTTTTGAGCTTGAGTTTAAGGCATTGTAATCTACTAGTGAAGACCTTTAATTTGATGTGCATATCGCCCTATGCTTACGTTAACAATTTTCTTCCGATTCCTAGGGCTGTGCCCCCTGAGGAGTAAGCGTATAATAGCAATGCAAATTAAATGAATCTTTGAACAACTGTCATTCTTGGCTCGGTTATCCGTTTGAGTTCAAATTTGTGGCATTATAATCTGCTAGTAAATATCTTTAAACTGATGTGACCTATGCTCCTATTTAAGAGCTTCTTCTGACTCCTTACGAGACGTCCCCATGATATGACAGAAAATTCATAGTTCCTTAAAAAAGTGGATTTTTAGGTGTGGTGTTGATGTACCAAATCTTATTGATTTATCTGTTGTCGTTTAGAAAATATTAAGCCCGTGCGGGACTTTATATACACCCTGTATAACGAGTGTATAATAGGGTGTTCTGAAACTTCTACAAAAATCTTTGGACTATGTTATACCGAACGATTCAACCGCATTTTACTGTATGGAGCTGGATCTTTTCAAACATGTTTTACCCGTGTTATTTGGTTTACGTTGAACGTTTTAACTTTGGTACAACTATACTTCACATAACTAAGAATATCTATTCGTATTAAAACTCGATTCGATAAACATGATCTTAAATTATACAATTTGTATGAAAACACGGTAATTTTCAGACTGTAATCATAAATCAACATTTATTTGATCGAGTAGTGTAATGTTAATTTTTTAGACCATCACAAGAACACAATGTAATTAGACAATTTTTTTTTAAATGTTTATCACGAAAATAGATAATTATTTGCAGGCTATAAATAGATCCGCGAGAATTACAACATGAGGAGGTATGAATAGAGGGGTTATGTCTTATTGAGGTTCTGTTGTAAAATATCCTTGTCTTTGTTTAGGGGATAAAATTCCAACGTTTCCCTTGAATAAATAGTTTCTCTAACATAGAGGAAACCTTTTTACTAAATATAAATGAGGGATTTCCATGCGTTCTGGTGTCAAACTACTACTTTTGTTCAAACGTTCCCAATCTTGGAGCAGACAATAGTCATATGAAATATTTTACCAGTACATTTCAGTTCGTTTCATTAGATGACTGTAACATATATAGCCGCAGCTTTTTTTCTTCGCCGACCATGTTTTTGTTTCACATGCTGTTCAACGTGTGTACAGCTCCTTGTTGGTACTTCTTGGTATACGATAGTTAAAAAAGTTATCCTAAGTGAAATACGTTTGGAGTAATTTTTCAAAGAAGGTGTTAACAATGGTCAATGGTTATCAGTATGTTTTAAGTTATTTTCAGCTACCACATTATCATTTAACATCCTCACTCATTGCTGTCTTCTTCCATTCGTTCATTCAACAATCTTCTTCAACTACCTTCTATCTCTTACTCTTCTTCTTCTTCCTATTCTACTTCTTCTTCATCTTCACCTTCATATTTACGCTGTACTCTACAGCGATGATGATGTTGCTAGGACGCTATGATCCACCTACAGGATGGAGAGATCTATTGGGCGTATGTGGCCCGATTTCGCAGAGAAACTCAAGAGGTAAAGAGTAAATTTTCAGTTCCACTCACGATTGAGGCACCGTCACAATGTTATGTACCTCACGCCCTGCACCTACGCAGCTTGGAGTGTAGAGTAGGAATAAAAATAGAAAATCTTATAAACTAATTAGTCAAAAAATAAACAATATATCCTTTGAGATGACAATTTTAAATTCAATTCATTGTACATCCCGAAGAATATTTTTACCGTCAAAGCTTGTGATGTTGAATTAACAGATTAAAATTTTAAATATTTATATTTAAAATTTACCATATTTGTTTGTAATATACTTAGTCTTACACACAAGAAATTTTTAAACGCAAGTAAAGGTATTTATTTGGAGGGTTCGATTTAACCCTAGTTTGGGTAATTACCCTAATGTAAACTAGTTAATAATACATCCATACAATGTATCAAAACTATATCAACCAAAAGTGTGTATAGATAACGTTAGGGGGTTTTTCGGTTTTTAATCTGCAACAAAATGTATGATATATAAAACTAATGTTACAAAAGAAATCCATTACAATCAGGAAAAACCTATAAAAACAACTTAAAATAAACAAAATTATAATATTTTGAGTGGTGTAAGCCTTTTCGTTTTCCAAAACTTTAAACAGCTAAATTTGTTCTTTCGCAAAAACACAGAAATAAAACATAGACATCACATTTGCAAATAACTTCAACATGTGTGCTCGTAAAGTTTTTCTGTGTAGTTTTAAAATGCCCCTACGTCTACACTTCATACACCTCATCGAGCACTGTGAGGCCACAAATATGCTTGAATCTACGAATTAGACTTAGACATCGAACTTGGCGAAGCATGGGAATGATAAAATTACAGTCCCCAATTTTAGAGTAGATACAATCCCTTCACCTGATTTTAATATTAGCCCCTTTTTGCTAACAAACGGAATGTCAACCGTAGAGTTAGAATAAAGGTTTTTCGTGATTGTTTGAATGTGTCACACCAATATTAGCAAGATAATTTTATGTTTTATTTGCAGGTTGTCTCTTGTATTACAGTGTGTTTAAAATCCAGAACATAAATAATGTTTTTATATTTACTCATTTTGTCCCGTTTCCATCGGTAATTATTTCGACAGACCGTACTAAAATTATGCTTGCTTTCCGAGGAAAAACTAGTTTATTATCATGTTCACCATCACAGAAGAAGTAAAGTATTCACATATTTTGTGTGAGTATATATTACATTATATCAACAAAAATATTTAAATTTGTAGGCCAAATATAAAACTATAGTAGTTTTACCAATAATTACTTAGTTCAAACACTTTTTTAAGGTATGCTTATAGCGTAATGCCTACCACTTAAAATATCAATAGTATTTCTAGCACTAGTTGTGTTAGTGTCAATATTAGCATCGTCTTTAGGGCTCCTTAAACTCCCTGGCTAAAACGGATGCTGAGAGATCACATTTTTTGTAAGTGTAAAGAACTAAATTCTTGTCTTACTATCACTCTTTTAACTGTCTCTTGAACTGTTTACCTTAATAAGTTGTCTCCTCAAATAGCTTCCGTCTCGTTTTGGGGTTATAAACAAGGTTCTTACCCGAACAGCTATAGTCCTCGACTCAATCATTTTTCTTCTTTTTTTGTCTAGGTATAAAAATAACAACTTTCGGAAAACTGGGCACGATGTGCTCAATAACAAAATTATTTTGTTGGCCAATATAAGCATTTTAAATAAACGAGAGTTCACTTCTTTTGGTTGCCATTTTTGTTAGTCGTCAGTTTTTGTGGTTACAAAACCAGTTAAGGTTTATCAATTTCCGGTTGCTGGCATGGTGAAATGGGGTTGCTTTCCCTAGCAATCACCCCTGATGTGTGTTCTACCCTTCTTCAGGCTTCAGGGTTGAGGCCCAAAATCACTAAAACTGTTAAAACAATAACAAATTATGCAAACCCGTACTGTGTTCTTGACGTAAAGTATTTTACTGTAGTTTACAAGCATAATATAGGGATGAGTAAATCATTCTGTTTGCCAACTCTATACAAACATAAAATATTTTGAAGGATATGTTCTTCCACACAATGGCTTTTCCGTTTTGTTACAGCAATGGCCCAGTTTGTTAATACTGCTTCTGTTGTTATTTATATCACTTTTGATGCAGCATGCTATATGTTATGTGAGTTAAAGTGGTATCAATAAAAGGATCCATTGCAAACCACGTTTGAATGAACGTTTGGTTGTTATGAGTGGTTTTGCCTCTGACAGCTCCAGACTTATTGTTTTATTGCATTGGAGATTGAATAAGGGTTTAATTGAAATAAATGCAATTCTTTTATTATAAATACCTCAAAGTTACAAATTAACATTAATTTTTTACATAATCTTTATTAATTAAATTTAATTAACTTTAATTTTGCAAACTTTAATTGTTTACAAAATTTAAATGGACCATCTCTTCCATCAAAAGCCACATGACAGTAACTGTCATGTGGCTTTTGAGGGAAGGTGGTATCTTATCACTGGAATTCAGGCTGGATTTTCACATTTTGTTGACTTACAAATATTCAAAGTTGTTGGTAATATACCCTCACACATTATAATGAATTAGACTGTGAAATTAAATGCACTATTTACATTGTGAGATTTACAGACATAATCCTCGTCCTAGTTTCATATGTGAAGAAATAAATATTTACGAAAAAAATATTTATGAGCACATTCATTTATTTAAATAGATCTGAAATTATTAAATCAAGTACAACTAACTGAAACCAAAACTATTAAAAAACCAGTTATAATTAAGCTGAACTTAAAACAGTTTTCAAACTAAGCAGTCTGGATGAACATATTCATATGTGGGCTACGGACTCCTAGGTTACGTCATTGTCAAAAGCCAGATGCAATAATTGGTATTAGTTGAGAATCGAGCCCGTCCTCCAGCACTTGTCCAGGGCCCTTAACCCTAGACC